ACTAGCTTAAGCGTCAAAAAGGTTAGTCTACTAATCGCTATCAAAGTCTCATTTTCTAATGGAAAGGGAAAAAGAAGAAAAAAATGAAAATGATAGAAACAAAAGAAAGAAGAATGCATTAAATTTGGAACATAAAGAGAAATAAGAAAATACTCCAGCCCTCACCTCGTTCCTATGTAGAGGCACAACCCATTTTTCTTCGATTAATGAGATAGGCAATTATTCATTGACACTGATTGTTACTTCCTTCCCAATTGAGAGAAGGTTATTTTCCCTTAGTCTTATGGCTAAGTTAGGCCGTGGTCCATAAAATAACATTTTTTTTCCCAACTACCTCGTAGTATTGTAGGAGGAGCAAACAAAGTCTTGTGGTTTTTAATCGATCTACATAGAACTATTGTAGTTTCTTGCACTCGACGCCCATATAAAGTCTAATCCATTCATATTCAAACGCATTAGATTGCTTTGACATAAAAGTTCAATTACTAGAAAGTCTTCTACTTGTACAATCAAATTAGGAAAATGTTCTTCCTTGTCACGTATCAAATGGACTATAAAAGTTATCACTTCTCATAGAGGTGTAAAGTTGGACCAGCTTGCGCATGCTCAGGATAGCAAGACGCATCTGAACATGGCTCACAGTATTGAGCGAAAAAGTACGAATTACTCGTTACATTGCTTGACTATATTTATGAATTTCATAGATGTTGTACATAATATGTAAAAGATATAAGTACATAATTATAATTTAAAAGGATAAAAATCAGTCAATATATCGATGTAGGAACATCAACCTTACTATATTCGAACCATAGTTTGTCAGTCAAAAATGATGCCAATGATTCGAGGGGAAGCCTCATAGTTTGTGACTTTGTGGAGAGAATTATGATGCAAGTACGACTTAGTTCTGGAATTGGTAAAATCATCTTAAGAGCATATCTAATACTCTTTAAATGTAAGATAATTTCTATTTAAATAGTCAAACCTTGAAATTAAATTTCAATAGATTTTTTATTTAAACTTTTTAAAGCATCTACAAAAGATTTTTTCTTTATACAGACCATCTTGGTCATAATAGAGAATATTTTTAAAGGTTATGCTACAAGTATATTAGAGTGTCAATAACGGTATCCACCCTTCACATGAAAGGGGACCCACTTCGAATGAAATATAATTTATTCAAAATGGGTCTCCCTTCACGCGAGGATGGTGATTACCGTTATGGATACTGCATTATGTATAGTAGCACATTCCTATTTTTAAATTTAAAAAGTAAAGATCTTGATATATCCCAACAAATTCCTTATTTGAATTATCCTTAAAAGCATATCATTGAAATTTGAAACTTACTAAATTCAATGATTATAAACTATAAAGTGTAAATGTTGAGTGGATTTAGTTCTTCAAATTTAGATAGTAGAATACACCCTCTATTTTAAACAGTTAAAATAGAGAGATTATTGAAGATTAATTTTTATGGTTGATTCTCTAAAATAGAAAGTATATTACATTTAAAGAGTTTCTTGAAAATGCTGTTAAAATAGAATGCTATTTGTACCTCATAATGATTGACTTAATCAGTTACAAATCAATGTTCAGATGTTTGTACTACTCAAACAATGTTTAATTTTATTGATCATTGATTTAATTAAAAATGAGAAAAAATAATAAATAATTTAAATAAAGAGTTGGAGAAAGAGAGCTCGTTGAAGTAGATCATTTTTTTTTTCAATTTTTAAATTTAAGAACGCTCTTTATCATATTTAAATATTTTTTAAACTTTTTGAAATTTTTTTTAAGATGTGTACCTAGTTTTAAGCATAAGTGATAGTGTGAGAAAAGTTGAATATATTAATTTAAAGTGATGTCTCAATGAATGATTGGGTAGACAATAAGGTGGATAGCCAATTTTAAACAACAAATCTCAAATCCAACAAAGAATCCCAAGAGGTGCACAGATCGAGAGCTAAGAGTATGTCCTAGAAACCCTTTGAATATGAAATGTGTCTATTTTAAAGAGCGGGCCTTTAAAATCACGCTCCAAAAGACTTTATAAATTAATATTTTATGAATGGTCAAATTCATTCTCTATAATTAAATTTATTCAAAGTATTTCAATCTTTAATATAGGAAAATAATAAAATAATTAAAAAAAGCCAATTAAAATAAAAGATAGAGAAAAATAATAAATATAGTTTGGAAGTAGGAAAATTATATGTTAAATAAAGAGATTGTTGGATTTCTTTAAAATTTTAACTACCTAAATTTATAAATGTTTTTCAAATAATAGAATATGCTCTTTAAAAATAAAAAAAAATTTTGGAGATATTTTAAATATGACGAATTCCCCTTTATTTTTGTTTCAATTTATGTTGGTTATTTTATTTATTTAGTACTCATTAATTTGTTGGACTTGTGAAACTGTAAATAAATGCTGTATTAATTGGGTAGCCGTGCGGATACAGCGTGAGTGGGTTACTTCTATTGCCCGGTTTTTAATTAAAATCATTTTCTCTAGATTTGGGCATAAAGTGGTAGGGGAGGGGCCCTCTTTCGAGAGGGCAGCATGTAGATATGGAGGCTCTGCTCCACGTGAATCTATTGCAAAAGGCAAATTAGCATGTGTCATAAAAGAGTACACGATTATAGACAGTAGGGCACATGAAAACACATTTTATTTTATTTTTATTTTTTTCCTGTCAAGTGGAATTAATGACTTGAAAAAGAGGGTTAGGTCTAGCCAGCTATTTAGCCTTTTTGGATCTGTTACTCGGCAAGTGTATCCTTTTTCGATTAGATATCTATCGATAGTTAACAAATGAGCACCTCAAGAGGTTTCATATCCCAATAGCTGAAACTCCAGACGCAGTTCTATATCCACCAGATGCATGTGAATAAGATCTAGCTACAACCTAAACAATAAAGTCGGGTGTTAATTATAAATCCCGTAGATGACCCAGTTTAGTATATTTACCCAGAACCTATTGAAGCTTACCTTAATAGATAAAAGGAAAAGGGGAAGTTGGGACTGATCGGAGACTCTCCTTCTCAAGTCAATCCTAGGTCAGGATGCGTTTTTCTATGAGCTATTGGGGAGCTACTATCTGCCCTAGATCTTTTCATTGCATTCAAAGGAATGCTTAATCCAATTAGCTACGATAAAAAATAAGATCGTAGTATAGTGGCCATGACATGAAAAATGTTTCACTCCTAGTATAGGCTGAATCATACGTATCATTTCCCATTCTTATTATTCAATAACAAAACATACACAAATTTATGTGAAGGGCCAACACCAACTCGCTTAATGTTGCCCAACACAGAGCTAAATATTTCTAAATTTGTATGCAGTTGACACATCCAACTGCAAAAATGGTAGCTAAACATTTTTTAGCCTATCACTAAGCGAAACTAATTCTTAATCCAAGCACTTAGCCTAATAGCCTTCAAATGCCACTCAGGTGTTATCCTTGTCCCTGATTTTGACCATAGAATGTAGACCAATTTTGACATCAACAGTTTGGACTAAATTCAGTTAGGCAACATTTGTGCATTGTCGAGCATGATTCTACCCAAAACTGAAATTTTCTGCCTTCGACCATCATCGAAAAAATTTCTTTGGAGGCTGTTGAGAAATCCCGTACACCCATAGCAAATGTGCGCGTACTTCCTAGAAATCCCTCTCATATAGTACTATCATCCAAGTAAATGCACAACACGACTTTCGTTCCTATCAGATGTGCACATCGCTCACACATCCGTGCAAGCTCTACACCCAATTTGGTCAAATGTGCCAATCGTACATATCAATGCGATAATGGCTCGTTATCTTGCCAAATGGGCACAATTCCCACACACCGATGCCAATTCATCGACATAGGGCAAGATACTGCCTATACGAAATTTATCATAGTCGTTAAGGGGCTAACAACATGAGACTATAAACTAAGACCATACGCTAGACTACATCATTTTTTATTTCTTACGTGTCTTATTTTCAATTTTCCTCCCTTTTTCATTGAATCTTAAAATAAGCCAAAGATATTCAAAATACAAATTTAATAATTACATTACATTTGAATTGAATGAAATGTTGATAATATTACACATTATTACAATTATATCTTATTCTTAAATTAATATAAATTATTTCTGATTATAGTTTCTCTTCAAAATTTTCTTCAGGATAAAATAAAAAGACTCATTTGACCATTATATTTTTAAATAAGTAAAACATATTATAATGTAAAAATACGATTAAATATTTGATCCTCATTTTAAAGCACATTAATAATAATTTTGAATGAAACCATGATTAAAGACAAGATTTTTGATTAATAAATTGTTAAAAATAAGAATGTGTTGTGAATATAACCACCATTTCAAATATGCAACTAGTATGATACAAATCAAGATAGCAGTTAATATATTAAATGTGTAATATATTTTCTTTAATTTTAAAGTCATTCGTATTCTTTTTACCAGTGAAAGTTCGATATATACTTCATATTAAAGATTCACAGTGTTCTACTAATCTAATTAATCAAAGAAGCATTAATCCATTAAAGAATAAAACCAACCAAAAAACTTAAATCTACTTTATTGACCTTGTACTTTAAAAAAAAAAAAAAAATTACTATTTTATGGAATGAATAAGACACGTGTTATTTTAATTTAATCAAAACAATCAACTTATATCTTTGGTAGATTGCTGATTTTTTGAATATTAACTTAGACTAAGGCCATGTTTGAGCCATATTTTTTTTAAAAATATATTTTTAAACAGTGATTTAACATCATTTCAAACACACATTGTCTTACACATTGGATTATCCGAAAAATAACGTAGCTCAAACAAGGGCTAAATGTATTAAATTTTTGTTCTTACACATTGTCTCATTTAGAATTTTCTTCCTTTACGAGTTGAAATATCCACAACACGTACGTGACATTATTATTATTATGGATCAAAACGTAGAAAATAAAGTCATTTATGATAATATTATTAATATAAATTTCATTGGATTATCCGAAGAGTAACAAAGTATTCAAATGTGTTACATAAAGGGGAAGAATGTAAAAATTTACATGATCCACAAGTCCTTTAACATCAAATTAGCATCACTTTTGAACCTCCACGGAATCAGAGGAAAAAATGTAAAGACAAAAGAATGACAATTTGACGTCAAAGACTAATATTATGTTTGATCGAACTTAAAAGTCATTAAAAATAGCTATTTTCGATCGAAAATAGCCGCTAAAAAATCGAGAATAAGTCAGTATGAGAGGCAAATTTGTGTTCAAAAGTTCCACAGAAATGAGTCCTCAGAAGAAACTTCACTGTCATCGGGCCAACTATCGAGGCTAGGCAACGGTAGAGCCAAAAAATCGTCAAATCCCGGAAATATTCCAAAATCCGATACGTTATTATCCGTATCTATACCCAAAATTTGGTCTAAAAACGCTGAGTCTAAGGGTATATCGGTAATTTCAGTATCCAACTGAGTCGCCTCGTCAGACCCGGATGAATAAGCAGACTCGGAGGACGACAGCGAAGAAGAACACTGTACATGAGAACTGTCAATCTGACCCGGACGGGTCTGCTCTGAATCCGATCGTGCAAACTGTGCCGCCGCTACCTGGATTTCTGCCGGTGTCATCGATCTCCCGTTGACTATCTCGGGCGGATTATCCGGGAAATTAAACTTGGCGTTACTGCCGCGTAGGCAAAACAGCGCCGCGTCGAATGCACGCGCTGCCTTTTCCGCCGTGTCAAAGGAACCTAACCAGATTCTTTCACGACTGTTGGGCAGCCTAATTTCAGATACGTATTTCCCCCACTTCCTCTTCCTCACACCCTTATACTTACAAGATGATGAATCATTCACCTTGTCTAAAATTGATTGCTGCTTCTTTTCATTAACTGATTTCACCATTTTTTTCCTCTTAAACCTTAAACTTTCGGGTAGTTCGAGATTGAGAATTGAGATTGAGAATTGAGAATTGTGTTTTCGTTGGGGAGAAATGGCGGCTTTGCGGTGTATATATATGTGTGTAAAGGTGGAGCGAGGGAAGAGTGAGTGAAAAGTGTACGAGTCAACAGGTGCGCGTTGAGAAGTGACACGTTGGGAGTAAAAAATAATATTTGATATTACGCGTTTGGTTTGATTTAGCGCACATGCCGAATTTGAGTTCCTCGTGGACAATATTTGTGATGGATCCACGAAGGACGAAAGGGACCTTTTTGTCCCCAACTGGTGTGCAATTAACATGTTGTCAATGCTTATTTTTGGCAAAACTATTTCACAATTTTGGCGAATTCTACAAGACATCCACTTCACTTTTTTTGACTTTCCGCTATAGAGAGTCTTGTCGTGCTATTTACAATAGTTGCTAGTAGCAAGGCGGCTAGCAAGTTTTTGTGTATTCACTGAATTACTTTGATATAGGGATCGATACATGTATCAGAATGTTTGTTGTTTCGTTTTAATTTTTTTGATATTATTATTTTGAGGAGAGATTTCCACAGTTGCACAACGAAGAAGTTGATCTTGTCGGATCTATGAAGTGGAGAAGGATTAGATATTATGATGCACGAGTGGTTGGAGAAGGACAAAGATTGGATCCATTAACAAATTTTCTTTAAGTCATAGCACCGATGAAAAGTGAAATTGTACCTTAAGAGAAATGACATGAGATGAGAGGTGTTAGCCATGGAAGTAGAGGAGTGAGATGAATGATTTCCTCTTCCAATTTATGTTCTAATACCATGTTAAAATAAAATCATAAAACAATTGAGAGTTAAATTTACGAGCGAGATAATTATTAAAATCTTGACGTGCCTTTGCTATAGTACCAATCCATCCTAATGATATTGATAATACAACATGATATGTAGGACAGGAATTATAATTGGTCACAACATTATCTCTTACAGTATAACTTGGGAGAAACTAATGTCTCATATTAGTGGGGCCATGTCTATCTAGGATATTTTGAAAATTTGGCATTTTCAATTGTATGAAGGTGTTGAAAAAGAGCAATATTATAAGTACAGATTTTTTTTATAGATTTTTTACAAGAAGATAACTCTCTTCTTATAATTGGCTATTGCTAAAAACAGTTTTTCACAAAAGCAAATCACAGGAAGATAGCTAACTATCTTTTTGTACCAATTCTGTTTAAAAAAATTAGTATTTGCAAATTAATTCGTTGAAAAAATGGCTTGTATGAGTTGTTTTGACATAATTTTGAGTGGATATACACGATCTCCCTACACGAATGTCGAACTGAAATTGGCCTCTTAGAAAGTCCACATTTTATCTTTATTTCCCATGTTTTTTTTCCTCCAATTAAGCTTCCAACTTTTGAAACTCCTAAACTTCAGTGGTTATATCTATTTTAATGAGACGTTAATGGTTGGTTAATGGATGAATTTAACTCACACTTCATGGAATTGAGCCTATAACAGAGCTCGAATTTTTCTCTGTTCCTAATTTTCATTCTTCTCTGTCTACGTATAATTTCCACTTCTTGTCTACCCGAATTTTTCCTTTTTGTCAAAGGTTTTGGTAATAGTTCTAATCAATTTCAGTTTGTCGGAGAGGGATAATTGATTTGAAAGACATTGTGTAATACAGCAATTTTGTTCTCTCTCTTCAGTGATTAGTATATTCTTGCAATTTTTGATTTCCTGTTTTGTTCTTTCTTTAATCAATAAAATATATTATTGTATTTTGCAAAATTTACTACTAAGCTTAAAACCAATTCTAAAAAGAACAAAGACGTGATTATTTCAATCTTCAATAAAGAAATATTATTTGTTTGGTTTTTCATAAATGGCAACTGAATCAAGTCATATGGACGTGGCTACTAAAAATCAGATTATATATAAGCCTACTATAACTTTTTCGATTAATCATGGGAAATAAGAGAAATTCAATGGTTTGAATTTCAAAAGGTAACAACAAAAAAATATTGTATTATCTGATCATTTTGAATCTTGCAATGTTTTTGAGAGGATGCTCCGAAACTCAATGAGAGTAACGGAGATGTCCAAGCTATTAGCACATTTGACGCTTGTAAACATTCTGATTTTTTTGTGCTGCAACTATATCATGAACAATTTAACCGATTTATTATACAACACATATAATACGTGCGATAAAAATGGCTAAGGAGTTGTGAGAGTCTCTAGACTGAAAGTATAAAATCGATTTTGGGGCTAAGAAATTGATTATCGGCCGATTCTTGATTATAAACTGGTGGACTAAAAAATTTTGGTCAATTAAGTACAAGAACTCCAAGTGTTTTTACATAAGATCTTTGTCGAATGGATGATTTTAGTAAAACTATCCAAATAGCTACTATTATTGAGAAGCTACCTTCGACGTGAAAAGATTTCAAGAATTGTTTTAACCACGAGCAAATGGAAATGAACATTGATTAATTATTATGTTTCAAATTGAAGAAGACAACATAAATTCTGAAAAAAGGAGGTTTAATCCACTTGTGGATAAAAGAAATGTTCTAAAATATACAAGAACAAGGATGAGCTATTTGGTGACAAAAGGGCTAAGTTGAAATTGAAAGGTGAAAATTCTAAGTTTCAAGGAAATGTTCTAAAGTATGTCATAAATCTTCGGATCGGAGGTTTATTGCCAAAGAAGAACAACAATAAAGAAGTAAATGTGAATAACTATATGACACATGATGTGTCTGAATGAGCCTCGAGGTTATTATTTATGAAGCAAATTTGGTGGGGTTCAAACACAAAAGTTGTGAATGCGGTCAGACATGTGTGCCCTGATAAAGAGTTGTTCACTTTACTTGAAGTTACTATGAATTGTTAGAAGTTTATGAAAAATTCAGCAATATCTGAAAGCAAGGGTCAAGGCAAGATGATTTTGAAGATGACTTTTGCGAAAGAGCTCACTCTTACCAATGTATTGGATGTGCTAAATTTCGAAAGAATCTAGTGTCAGGGTCACTTCTGAATAAGTACCATTTTCATATTATGTTTCAGTCAAACAATGTTATTTTATTTAAAAATGAAATATTTGTTGACAAGGGTTATGCAATTGATGAGCTATTTAAGCTCAATTAATGGTTGTCAAGCTAAAAATAAATAAAATTAATTTTTTTAGCTTACTTGATTGAGTCTTTTAATTTGTGACATGGTAGAGTAAGATATGTTAGTTATGATACTTAGATTAATTATCTTGAATTACATGCTCGGATTTCATATTGACTCCAAATATAATTGCAAAACTTGTTTTGCAAAATTGACAAGGTCATCATTTTAATTTATTGAAAGAACTTTAATTCACAGTGATGCATATGATTTAAAATTTATACAAACAAGAGGTGACAATAAATACTTCATTACTTTTATAGATGACAATATAAAATATTGTTATTTGTTTTATCTGTTTAAAAGTAAGGACAAAATTATAGAGAAATTTCTTCTTTATAAGAATGATATGCAAGCGCGGCCTTGTCAATTTTTTTCTTTACAAGGACGAAATATAAACATTTGTTCTCTATAAGAAATTTGTTTGCAAGCGCACCAATGTCGAATCAAAATTGGCCATTTAGAAGAATCCATGTTTTTCTCTTTATTTCTTGTATTTGTTATTTTTTTTCTCAAACTGACCTTCCATCTTTTGAAACTCATGAAACTCCAGTGGTTATAGTTATTTTAATAAGACATTAATGGTTGGTTAATGGATGAATTTAACTCAGCCATTCATTTAGATGAATCTATAATAGAGCTTTGTTATTTTTTTTTTGTTCCACGCACGAAATTCCATTCTTATGTGTATGCATATATTTACAGTTCATGTTTACTCGAAAATTTTCTACTTTTTGTCAAAAGTATTGATGATAGTTCTCATTAATTTCTTCGTCAGAGCAGAAACTAAAGTACTAGATTCTACTAGTTTCTTTGTTGTATCCCTCGAGGCAACGTTCAAACGAAAACTTAAGCACTTATGTGAGGGAACAAATATGCTTTAAGGATACTATATTATACATAGGCATCAATTTGCAATTATGTTATCTCTTTTAAGAATATCTTTAAGAGACTATTTAAACATAAGATGCTATCCATTTTAAAGAGTCAACTTTTAAAATCATATTTCAAGGAACTCTTTTAAATTAACATTTTAATTTAAATAATGAGTTTGGCTCTCCAAATACCCACTCTCCATAATTAAATGTATTCTAAATGTTTCAATTTTTAATGTAGGAAAATAATAAAATAATCTAAAGAGAAGCTAGTTAAAATAAAAAATGGAGAAAAATAATAAATATTTTTTGGGAGTACTAAAATTAAGTATTAAATATAAATAATTTATTGTAGTACTTTAAAATTTTAACTCTCTAAATTTATAAATATTCTCTAAATCATAAAATATGCTCTTAAAAAAAATAGAGTACTCTAACTTTCAGCTCTTGTTTCTCTCTCAACAAGAGTCATGAATCTTGTTAGATGACTTGCTGCCGAAATTGAAGTGAGTTTACCTTCTCTGTAGCTTACTTCCCAGAGCCTAAGAAATCAAATACAATAATCTGATTCATAGCAAATTCAATAAAAGATTCAGCTGTCTCAACTGAAACTTGTGTTGAATATATAAGCCCTCAACTTAAACAGATGATAGTAACTAAAAGTGTTTGACAAACAATGGAATGACTGAAATTCTCCTCACCAAATGGAAGAGATAACTTTTGATTAAATAGGCAATAATTACAGTTGTGAAATCATATATAATAGAAAAGAATAAATTACAAATATATAAAATATCCCTACAGCTATACAAGATGATACTGTGGCAAGAATTATGGAGAATCATACGCTTTTTCCTTATCACCCCCTTGCAAGTTGAGCGTGGCAGAAGGATAACGCTGAGCTTGCTTCGAAAAAGAAAGAACTGGGGCTTGGTGACGCCTTTGGTCAATGAGTCAGCAAGCTGCAGATGTGAAGGAACAAATTCAACTTTCAAAGTGCCATTAGCAACAAGTTCACGAACAAAATGGTAGTCGATCGCAATATGTTTTGACCGAGGACGAGTAACTGGATTGACAGCCATAAAGATTGCACTTTGATTGTCTCAAAGAATTTTAGGTGGCGCTAAGGGTGTAACACGAAGGTCCCAAAGTAGTTGAATAATCCAGGCAATATCAGCCATGGCAATAGCTAAGGAGCGATACTTGACTTTAGCACTTGAGCGAGAGACAGTGCTTTGTTTCTTAGAGGACCAAAAGACTAAATTGGCACAAAAAATATAGCATAGCCAGTAGTAGAGCGACGTGTATCAGGACATCCAACCCAATTCACATCAAAGTAGGCAAGAAGATCACGAGTCGACTATTTATGAAGTTGAAGTCCATAATGAGGAGTGCCTTTAACATATCGTAGAACACGTTTGAGAGCACGAAAGTGATCCTCTGTGGGGGCATGCATGAACTGGCAAATGGAATTTATACCGAAGGACAAATCAGGCCTAGTGATAGTCAAGTATTGGAGAGCGCCTGTAAGAGAGTGAAACAAAGTAGGATCGGAGAACATCTTTCCTTGGCTGATGGTTGTTGACCAACAAAAAATGGTGTGGAAATGGGCTTCGCATCAGGCATGGAAGCACATTGCAAAAGATCAAGAGCATACGTCGTTTGACCGAGAAACAAACCCTTCTCATTGGCTTGGACTTCAACGCCGAGAAAATAATGAATATCACCCAAATCCTTCATAGAGAATTCCTTGGAAAGTCGAGTAATAATAGATTGAATCATAGAAGGATTACTTCCAGTGATGACCATATTATCAACATAAAAAAGTAAATAAACAGTCCTAAGTGAAGAGTGATAGACAAATAATGAAGAATCGGCCTGACTGGAGACAAAACCTAATTTAAGCAAAAAGGAGCTAAAACGATGAAACCAAGCTCAAGGAGCTTGTTTAAGCCATAAAGAGCACGTTTCAAGCAACAAACATGTTGAGGAAATTGTGGATTAGTGTAGCCAGGCAGTTGTTCCATGTTTACCTCTTCGTTGAGAAACCCATGAAGAAAGACATTTTTAACATCTAACTGATGTAAACGCCATCCAAAGGTAATGGCCAAGGACAAAATGATTTTGACAGTGGCAGGACGCACCACAAGGCTAAATGCATCACCAAAATCAAGACCATGAATTTGAGAAAATTCTTGAGCCACAAGTCGTGCCTTATGGCGTTCAATAGACGCATCATAGCAAGTTTAGTTTTGAAAATCTAGGGACAGCCAACGACATTATGATTCTTAGGACGAGGTACAAGGATCCATGTATTATTTTTCTCCAAAGCTTGAATTTCATCATCCATAGTTGAGAGCCATTCAGGTTGTTTTGAAGCAGACTTGAAGCGCCGAGGCTCTTTGAGAGCAAAAAGTGCCTGAAAAACCTTAAAAGAAGGCAAAGCAGTCACAGCATGACATAATTGTGGTTTAAATATACCAGCTTTCCCTCTGGTAATCATCCGATGGATGGAAGTAGTCACAGGAGGAGCTAAAGAGACGGGTGTAGTAACATCTGAGTTCGAAGCTATATAATCCAAGGAAGAATCAGCAGGAAAAGGAACCTGCATATCAGGGGAAGAATTCGAGGACATTTGTGGAGTATCACTGCAAGGCAGACAACGTGAATTTGAAGAAGATGGTGAAGCCAAGGAATTTGAAGAACTAGCATTAGAAAAATTAGATACACAATCCTGGCAATCTGAAAACTGAATATAATCAACGTTATGCTGCATATGTTGTACAGAATCCTCATTATACGGGAAAATATTTTCATAAAATTGTACGTGTCTAGAAACATAGACATGATGAGTCTTTCGGTCCAAGCACCGAAATCCTTTATGAAGGGTGCTATATCCTAAAAAGACACAAGGAGTAGATTTTGGAGACAATTTATGAGGTCAGTAATCTCTCCAATAAGGGAAGCAAAGACACCCAAAAGTACGAAGTATAGCGTAATCTAGTTGTTTACCAAACAAGAGCTCATAAGGAGTTTTGCCATCAAGTATTGGTGACGCGAGTCAGTTAATGAGAAAGACGGCCGTAGAGAAACCCTCAACTCACAAATAGAGTGGTACACGTGCATGAAACATAAGGGTAAGATTTGTTTCGGTAACATGGCGATGCTTGCGTTCGGCAATGCCATTCTGACTAGGAATATAAGGACATGCCCTACGAAGAACAATACAACAAGATTACAAATGACTTATTATTTGTAAATTCAGTTCCACCATCGCATTGAAATGATTTAATTTTCGTTGAAAATTGCATCTCAATATAACGTTGGAAATGAATGAAAGTGTTAAAGAAATCAGATTTGTTTTTCAAAGGGAATATCCAAGTAAATCTGGTACAATCATCAATAAACACAGCATAGTATCTATAACCAGTAAAAGAAAGAACCGGTGATGGACCCCATAAATCAAAGGCATGGCACAACGTTCATCATTTAAAGAAAAAGGTAATCAGTGGCTTTTACCAAGTTTACAACCAAACAAATATCAAAATTTGTATTCGCCAATGCATCAGTACAAGAGATAGAACCTAATCTAGAAAGGGAAGCAATAGTATGATGATTTGGATGACTAAGGTGCGCATGCCATAGACGACCAGAGGCTTGTGATGGAGAGGAAGTGGTGGACATGAAGGCATGATGGCGATGATTCAACACATATAGAACATTTTCACATTTTCCAACTCCCAGCACCTTTCTTGTGACTTGTTCCTGTATGGTAAAATCAGAAGAAGAAAAGGTAACATAGCAATTATTATCTTTTGTAAGTTGACTAATGGAAATAAAATTTTTCTTAATGCCAGGAACAACTAAAACATTTGATAAAAGCATGGGACTAGTCGGAAAAAGAGGTGCAATGGAACCGGTGTGAGATATGGCTAAAGACTGACCATTTCCAACCATGACACGTTCATTACCACAGTAAATAGACGATTCATCCATGCCCTCGGTGTCATTTGTCATGTGGGATGTTGCACCAGAGTCAGGGAACCATTCGGAATCATTCAGGCCTTGAATTGAGCAGGCAGAAAATGCTTCAGCAAGGTTAGCTGATTGCGTCTTCTTAAGTTTCAGGTAGACCCAACAACGTTTTGCTAGGTATCCTTTATTGTCACACAACTAACAGTAAACAGAGGTGGATGAAGGCTTCAAATTGACAGAAGTTGTAGAAGGTTGATTTGAGATTAACGACCGATTTTTCCCTTTGTTAGTTCCTACCGATTTGGAAGTTTTATGTACATAATAGGCAGAGCTGGATGACGAATGGGAGATTGACCATTCAAAACTTTCATGGCTTAAAGCTTTCGGAACAATCTTTGCAAAAGAGGGTAATGGAAGCTGTGACATCATGGTAGTGGAGAAGATCTTTAGTCTGGTCCTAATGCCCGTAAATACTAGTGAACTTTATCTGTGTCGTCAATAGGACGATCAATAGCAGCCAGTTGATCACAGAGACCTTTGAAGGTTCGAGAAAATTCAACAATAGACTGAGAACCGCGTTGCATCAGTTGGAGTTCATCCTTAAGTTGTAGTTCTCGAGTCTTTGACCTATGCGAAAATGAGACTTCAAGAGCACGCCAAGCCTCATGTGAATGACGTAAACCCAATACCTCACTCATAGACTCCTTTGTAAGAGAGAAATAGAGCAAACTGAGTAGCATTTGATCTGTCTATAGCTAAGAGATATAATCAGGATTCAGCTTTGTAGTGCCATCTGGGGCAGTAATCTTGTTAGATGGAACCTTGATGCTGCCATCCAAGTAACCAAGAAGGTCTTGACTTGCTAGGAGAGGAACAAATTGATTCTTTCACAACAAATAATTGGAGGAAGTCAGTTTAATGGTGAGCATATGCACCATTGTGTTAAGCGGAAGAGTGGGAGATGAAGAAGACGAATCAGTCATGGTGAGGATCGAACAAAAAGCTATGACTCTGATACCATAAAAGTGTTTAACAAACAATGGAATGGCTGAAATTCTCCTTACCAAATGGAGGAGATAATTTCTGACTATATATGCAATAATTACAGTTGTGAAATCATATATAATAGGAAAGAATAAATTACAAATATATAAAATATCCCTACAGCTATATAAGATGATACTGTGGCAAGAATTATGGAGAATCATACGTTTTTTCCTTATCAGTAATAAATCCTGAACAAGAGGAAACATCCTGTTTCTGACCATACGACTACTGTAACTTTAATAATAGCTGTTCTGTTGTAGAATTTGTTTTTTTCTTTTCCATGCCGGACCGCATTTGGCGTTACCTTCGAAAAGAGAAACAGGGAGTGAACTTTGCTGAATATAGAGTGACAGGCCATGTTTTTTAACCCATAATGTTCATTTATTGTGTGTAAAAATTAAAATTGATAAAAATACCTATGTAACATATTGTACACGTGATGTTAGAGCAATGTTGTCCCTGTTAGATTATAATTATTATCTTTTATGTTGATTTGAAATATGATGAAGTTGACTTGCTTTACACATTAGCACCTTCTATATTTTTATTTGGAAAATGCCCTGTGTCTAGGGAATTTTCTCATAGAAAATCTACAGAGCAATCACATGAGGTGGGTTTCATGTGAATATTTTATTAAGGTAGGCCCCATTGCTGTGTGTATTCTGTGAAATGTCCGTAAGATTTTTTTCTGTAAATGTAGCACCGTTCTTTTTATTTTTATATTTTAGGATTTTTTTTATTGGGGATTGGGACATGACTAAAATTTTATAAAAACTTGAGGAGCTTGTTATGATGAAAAATGAATAAGAGTTGTGAATCATATTAAAGCCCTCGTTTGATCCTCATTTTGGAGGAAATAATGCATTTTGAATAGTAGATTATTGGAGAATGTGTAGTTAAATTTTAAAGAAAAGTTTTTTATTTGTGTGTAATATTATTTTATTGAAGAATGTGTAGTTGAAAATGAATTTTGAAAAAATAAATTTAGAAAAAAAATGAGAATCAAACATGGGCTAAATATATGCTTAAAAATTAGGTTTGGCCAATTTTTTAGGTAACAAAAATTTTATCAAACAAGGATTTGTGTTTGAATTAGTCATGGTCAGTTGTTGGGAATGGGTTAAATTGTCATTATATTTCCGTGAAAATATTTACGCTACCTTGTATTAAACCAAAAATAAGTCATGAATGAATTATTTCTATAAACTTATAATTTTTTTGGAGGTTTATTAATTCCTTAAATACGGTTTATTAATTCCTTAAATACCAATATTTTCAAAGGTTGACGAGTGAAAGATGTATGAAATTCATTCATCCGCTAATTTTACGAAAGTCGACACAACTGAATGTAGCCAGAACCCTCTTTAGCTTTCATTTTATATAAAAAGTCCTTTTCAAGATGAATAGTTAAACCAAATTGAAGTTTCGAGTAAATTGAACAATGAAATTGCTTTTAAATAATAATTGGATGGTCGAATTGGAGTTTCGTAATAGTTGAAGGATGAAAATGCCTTTAAATAATAGTTGGATAATCAAATTGGAGTTTCTTGCTTTTAAATAATAGTTGGATGACCAAATTGATGTTTCAAAACGTTGATGGATGAAATTGCTTTTAAATAATTGTTGGATGGCTAAATTGGAGTTTTGTAATAGTTTAAGGATGAAAGTCGCTATAAAAATTAGTTGGGTGACCAAATTGAAGTTAATAAATATTTGAAGGATGAAATTGCTATTAAAGTATAGTTGGATGACCAAATGAAGTTTCGAAAAATTTAAATTGATGAAAT